AATCAGCACTTACATCCCAGCCACCTTCTTTATTTTCTTTCTCACTTGTAGCGCTGTGCATTTCATCTTCATCGATATCCGGATTACCCTCCTCATCCAGCATCAAATCATCACCACCCCAAGCATCCCCAGCCTAAACAGAAAATTAACTTCAAAATATTAAACCAAATTTAATTTTTTTGAATAGTATGTGCTGCAGTTGAATAAGAAACTTGGCCTTTTGCAGCAGATGCCAATAACTAACTTGAAGCTTTTACTGCAAATCTTCAAGCCATTGGTTTTCCAATCACAGTTGCAAAATTTGTGAAGCTTCAGGCCTATTTTAAAAAACCGCTGCAGTACAACTAGAAATCAAATCGGAATTTAGCAAGTATTTTCTTACCACATCAACGTCACCATCGGTGTGTGCAAAGGGAGCAGCTACTCGAGATGCTTTATCACCAACATTTGCTAGATTTCCCGTGATAAGGTGTGCATCAAAAGGACCACGTGACATTGTTAATAACGGCCAGTTATCCTCCATCTCAAAAAGAATTATATTATAACAAATAAAATTGAAATTGAAAATTTCAGGCCAAAGAATAATATAGGAAAATAGTATATTTTATGGAAACTAAGAAAACTTTAAACAAGTGAGTTAAATCATACATAAGATATGACCTTGAAATTACTAGAAAGCTTATGAAACAAAAGACAGCGTGCAAACCTGCTTAATTGGAGGTGGTGGAATCAGTAAGCGAGCATTCGGATCAACTGGTGGCAAGTTTTGTCCTTTTGCTAACAGCTCCTCCTTCAATTGCTTGGCTTCCTCGCTGAATCCATGTGTTGCTGCGGTTAGATATGCCAAAGAAGTCTGACCAACATCTTTTAGAACTTAAATAAAATTACCATTCAGACAAAAATAATGGCCCAATAATTTTCTCTTCAGAAAGGTCTATATAATTCGGAAATATTTTGTGTACTTTTCATCATTGACAAAAATAATGGACCATACTTTTAATACGCTCGTCAACATCACCAAGAAGAAGTGCGGTCTGATAATGCCCATTTACATCCTTAAATTATCTTCATCTTAAATTAAATATGATAT